AAGATAGGGAAGGCAAGATAGGGGGAGGGGTGGCCTTGTATGTGAAGGATAGCATAAAATCTAGCCTAATAAAAGTTAGGGAGGAGTCGGGCTAAAAACCTTTGGGCTACGTTAGAATTTGGTAATCACACAGTAACTCGTGTAGGTGTGATTTATAGGCCGCCAGGACAAATTGAAGAGTTAGATAATCTACTAGTTGAGGAAATAGCTACAATGACAATGAAGGGGGAAGTTATCATCATGGGTGACTTTAATCTTCCTGATGTAAATTGGAAAACAAAATTAGCTACTTGTGCCAGGAGCACACATATTCTAAACTCCCTACTGGGATTGTCTCTAAAACAAGTTGTTGAGGAGCCAACTCATAAAGAGGCCATACTAGATTTAGTGTTAACAAATGGAGATTGAAAGTTTGGAGGTGAAAGTTTAGGATCCAGTGATCATCAGTCAGTGTGGTTTAATATAAGAACAGTGACTGAGTCACACCACACAAAAATAAAAGTTTTAGACTTTAGAAAAGCAGACTTTTCTAAAATTAGAATATGGGTAGAGGAGTCATTATCAGACTGGAGCAATTTAAATGGAGTCCAAGAGAAATGGGATTATATTGAAGGCAACAGAAAATTGCATTAGGCTTGTCAGTAAAAGCAAAAAATTCAAGAAACCACTGTGGTACTCCGCAGATTTGGCCAAAATAGTTAAAAACAAAAAGTTAGCATTTAGGAATTATAAAAAAACCGAGAGTGAGGAAGACAAAATGATCTATAAGATTAGGCAGAAAGAGGCTAAGCAAGTTATAAGAGCTTCCAAATCACACACAGAAGAGAAAATAGCACAGTCAGTAAAAAATGGGGATAAAACATTTTTTAGATACATAAATGAGAAAAGAAAAGTAAAACAAGGATTAGTTAGATTAAAACAAAAGAAGGAAGGTATGTAGAAGAGGATAAAGGTCAGGCTGACTGCCTCAATGAATATTTTTGTTCTGTATTTACAGAAGAAAATGAAGGAAAGGGACCTCAGTTGAGAAAAAGGATAAATGAGTCATTTATTACACGTGAGTTTACAGAGGAAGAGGTTCTATTTCAACCGTCAAAAGTAAAGACAAATAAGTCAATGGGACCTGATGGAATACACCCAAAGCTATTAAAAGAGCTTAGTGGTGTACTAGCAAAACCATTAACAGATTTATTTAACCAATCATTGTTAACAGGAGTAGTCCTAGAAGATTGGAAGTTAGCGAATGTTGTGCCCATTCACAAGAAGGTAGGAGGGAGGAGTCTGGCAACTATAGGCCAGTAAGCCTTACTTCAGTAGTGGGGAAAGTAATGGAAACCATGTTAAAGGATAGGATTGTTGAACATCTAAAAACACATGAATTTCAAGATCAGAGACAACATGGGTTTACTTCAGGGAGATCATGCCAAACTAATCTTATTGATTTTTTTGATTGGGTAACTAAAATTATAGATCAGGGTGGTGCAGTAGACATTGCTTACCTAGATTTCAGTAAGACTTTTGACACTGTTGCACATAGAAGGCTTATCTTTAAGTTTGGATTCAAATATTGTTGAATGGGTAAGGCAGTGGCTGAGTGACAGGCAACAGAGGGTTGTAGTTAATGGAAAAAATTTGAAGCTTGGACTTGTCACCAGTGGGGTAGCTCAGGGATCTGTACTTGGACCCATTATCTTTAATATTTTTATTAGTGATATTGCAGAAGGTCTTGATGGTAAGGTATGTCTTTTTGCTGATGATACTAAGATATGTAACAGGGTTGATGTTCCAGGAGGGATAAGCCAAATGATTAACTAGAAACTAGAAAAATGGTCAGAATTGTGGCAACTGACATTTAATGTGGATAAGTGCAAGATAATGCATTTTGGACGTAAAAACCCAAGGGCAGAGTACAGAATATTTGATAGAGTCCTAACCTCAACATATGAGGAAAGGGATTTATGGGTGATTATTTCTGATGACTTAAAGGTAGGCAGACAATGTAATAGAGCAGCAGGAAATGCTAGCAGAATGTTTGGTTGTATAGGGAGAGGTATTAGCAGTAGAAAGAGGGAAGTGCTCATGCCATTGTACAGAACACTGGTGAGACCTCACTTGGAGTATTCTACACAGTACTGGAGACCGTATCTCCAGAAGTATATTGATACCTTAGAGAGGGTTCAGAGAAGGGCTACTAAACTGGTTCATGGATTGTGGGATAAAACTTACCAGGAAAGGTTAAAGGATCTTAACATGTATAGCTTGGAGGAAAGAAGAGACAGGGGGGATATGATAGAAACATTTAAATATATAAAGGGAATCAACACAGTAAAGGAGGAGACTATATTTAAAAGAAGAAAAACTACCACAACAAGAGGACATAGTCTTAAATTAGAGGGACAAAGGTTTTAAAAATAATATCAGGAAGTATTACTTTACTGAGAGGGTAGTGGATGCATGGAATAGCCTTCCAGCTGAAGTGGTAGAGGTTAACACAGTAAAGGAGTTTAAGCATGCGTGGGATAGGCATAAGGCTATCCTAACTATAAGATAAGACTAGGGACTAATGAAAGTATTTAGAAAATTGGGCAGACTAGATGGGCCGAATGGTTCTTATCTGCCGTCACATTCTATGTGTAAGGAAACCAAGTACATTTAAACCTTAATCGGTAGTTTCCTCCCGAACAGCCAGAGCCCAGTGAATATAGCCCTCCGTTCGGTAGTTATAGTAGACGAATTCCCAATTGTAAATCCAATAGTGTTCCTGGATAATTCCCACAGTAAAACACACAAACTCCCAAACAGCATACTTAGTCAGAATAAGGGTACAAAGATGAACTGAGGTTTAATGACAGACATGCTCTTTTTATGGGATTCAGCCCATGCAAGGGAGCCTCCCATATAATTAGCCATACATCCAATCCTAACAATATACATACTGTACATCTTCTCCTTTCAGATAACCATTAAACACAATTAAAACGTAACAGAAATTCCCCAAAGTTTGGATGTACCCCAAGGACTTGGTGTCCCCAGATAGCTATTGTCTGGGAGACCAACATATTAAAATCTCAGGCCATTCGGTTCAGCCGTTCGAGAGATATAGGACTTAGAAGTTTTGACCGACTGCACGGGCAAAGTAGCCGAAAACAGTTCCATGAATTCTGGCCCTGCAGTCGGTCTTAGATCGCATGAAAAACCTCCCGAACAGCCGGCCATCCAGCTACCATCCTTGGTTCACTGGATTCCCCATCTGTTGGTAAGTCTTTCTACCGAACGCCCGGTAGTTTGGAAGGGGTTTTACCGAAGGTCTGGAGGCTTCAGCGGTGTTCGCCTGTTTGAGAGTCCGTTTTCTGTTCCAGACATTCAAGGGCAAACACCGCTGGTCGGGAGCTAAAATGGCCGCGAACACGAGGAAGTCCCGAAATGGCGGCGAGACCTGCCGTTCGTGCAAAACTTCTGCCGAACGTAATCCAGCCAGCAAGGGGGGTATAGTCTGTATAAAGGGGTGACAGGGGGGTCTGCATTCGGTAGTTTTACCTACCGAATGCCATAGGGGAACATTGCTATAAACACAAATACAAAGAGGGCATATACAGTTAAAAAAAGGCATTTCTTCACACTATGTTTCTATGAAGAAAACACGTTGGTTATAAACTACAGAGACTCTGGGTTTGTCTTGTCCTGCGACTCTATTCTTGTATCATCGCGGGCTTCTGGTCTCATCCACACTATCAAGATCCGCGGCATGAAGAGAAATGCAGTTTTTTTTCCCCCCTTTATTTTGTAAGTAGGATATAAATAAATTGTGTATTTTATATCTACCATCTGCACTATATTTGTGCTTTCTGTTTTCTATCACAAGCTGGAATACAAGTACACTAGGCCTGATGTGACACAAATCTACATACATCGATACCTTTCTGATGGGCTTGAAATCATCCAAGTTCTTGTGAGTGCAATTTATATCTTGCGGGTTAAAGGGACACTCCAGGCACCCAGACCACTTATGCCCATTGGAGTGGTCTGGGTGCCAACTCCCACTACCCTTAACCCTGCAGCTGTAAATATTGCAGTTTTCATAAACTGCAATAATTACCTTTCAGGGTTAACTCCTCCTTTAGTGACTGTCTACTAGACAGCCACTAGAGGGCACTTCCTGGTTTCTATCACAGGTTTTCTGTGCTAGGGCGTCGCTGGACGTCCTCACGATGTGTCAGGACCTCCAGCATCGCTCAATTCCGCATAGGAAAGCATTGAAAGCATTTTCAATGCTTTCCTATAGAGAGGTCTAAGGCATGCGTGCGCCGATTGCCGCGCATTAGGTCTCCGCCAGCGGCTGCACATGCGCGATAGGTCTCCCCCGCCGGATGACGGTGGGGGAGGAGCGTGGGCGAACCCGAAACCAGCGCCGAGGGTCATCAGCGGGGGTCTCAGGTAAGTCACAAGTAAGGGTTTTTACCCCTTCAGCAACATGGTATGGGTGGTGGGAGGGAGAGGGTACCTGCAGTGCCAGGAAAATGTTTTTTTTTCCTGGCACTGGAGTGTCCCTTTAAGTGGCACCTGATGATCTTACCCTATGTCAATTTTATAGGTTTTTTTTAGATATCTGGACATATTCCATCTTTTGTCATATGAAGGTGGTATTAATTCCCTATTGTTAGGTGATATCATCCTTTTTAAACACCTTACTTGCTTGTTTCTTACCTATCTGTTTTTGGTGTTTAGAGGGCACACTATTTTAAGTGGGTGTTTCGTGTTGCGTATGTAGTGATTATATATATTTTTCTTGTGCTTTAGAGATGAATCAATAGTTGAAGAATTTCTGATTTTTTTAAGAGGTTTAACAGTGAAAAAAATGTCTTCATATTTTTATATTTAGATGTTTTTATGTTTTTAACATTTGATATATGAGTGTTTTTAAAAAGTTATAATTTAGAAGTTAATGCCAGAATATTAAATTAATTGAGATTATTAAATGGAGGTTTAAGTTTAGGAACCTAGTTTTATTGGGAATTATCCCCATAAGTATATATTAAGATCAAGTACAGAATTAGTCTGTTAGTCACTTGCTTGTGAAAGTGTTATAGTACTCAGAATGTCCAATCAAGCGTTTATGTAGAGTGAATGCTTCTCTCATCAATACAAAAGTGTTCCAAAGGGAAATGATGTCAACTTTTTTTTTGTAATACATAAATTGCATGAAAAATAAGCAAATCTGAGAGAAGTGCATGATCTATCAGTTAATGGTTTAACTTTACGTTTTTTTATTTGACTTTTAGTTTTGATAATTGATAATGATAAATGTATCATGTTAGGAATTGTTCATGTCGTATTAATCCTTGTGTCTGTATGATTGTAGAGAACGTCCTAGAATGCTTGTACCGCCAGATTGTTGGGACGTTCTCACCTATCTCTCTCCTCTGGCTTACCCTATACTATTTTGCAAGTGTGTCTGTTTGGCAAAAACCCATGCAGGCCGAAGAAACTGAGATGTACTTATGAGGACAAATTTTGCACGCAAGTCCCGGGAAAGTGCTGTCTAATGCTGCAGGTTCTGTAATAACCCTTTCAACAATTGGGGTGTTGCACAGAGCATTGTGATGAAAAACCAGCAACTAAAGGAAGTACTAAGAACTATGTGGAAGCTTCTATTAGCCATCCTTATAGAACAATTTATGGTGTCCAAAAAAGAAAAAGTAGATGGAGGGGGCAACATTAACCAATAAATCATCCAAAATGTTAAAACTAATAGTTTAATAGATAATTTTAAAAATCCGAATAGGACCATGAACAAAACAAACAACACAGTCTATAGTCTGACTATGTATAAACTAAAAAATAAACTTTTTATAAACAGATGAGCGGCTGCGGTCAGCCAGCAGATTGTTTATCATTCATAGGGTTTTAATACCCACTACTCTTTCTCTTTCAGCCAATTGCTAGAACATTCTACCTCTTTGACTAAATGTCATCAATACTAACAGAAGTGTTGAATCCAGTCATAAGCCCCATGACCCCCGCCGATAAGCCCCCAGCCCCTATATAATGTATTTTCATTAGAACCCCAGACCAATTCTGAGACGAATGACATCAATAACTTATTCTTCTCTATACAAAATCTATACAAATCCCAAATTAAAGGACAGTGGGAAATAGAGAGTTTACGTAAGTATATAGAGCAAAAATTGGTCCCTAGGGGGCTGCGAAGAGAAATATCTACTCTGGTAGAAGTAAACACTGACGAAAAACTACAAAAATGGAACTTAATCGTATTGGACTCCTCATATAAATTTATGCAGTTTCTAGTAGAATTAGAACAAGACGACTCCAAGAAAGTCAGCCAGGAATTACGAGAAGAAATAAAGTAAAAATCTTTCAGAATAGTTCCGAATACCCACTTATGGAGATGAAATTAAAAAATTATCTTGAGTCTTTTAAATCCTATATCATGAATAAAAAACATCAAAAAATTGTAAGAGATCACAAAGATTTTAAAGAAGGAAACCTATTTCGAACAAAAAAAACAACCTATGAACATATCAAGCTCTACAACCAGATATACAGATGGTTCAGAATCTGACTCAAGTTACACCAGTAATAGGAGTAACTCTCGATCCTCAACATGATCACAACAGGGGGGGCAAAGGCATTCTGAGAGGACAAGACAAGACAGTGTCATTCTTAGAAGCCCCACCTGTCAGGGTCTCCCCTCCTCCTACCTGTCCTACCATGTATAACGCTGCACGCTGGGAGGTCACTAATTTTTGCAAACGCCGGGGTCACAGTGGGAGGCGTAGATATCTCCCACGTGTGATTGTTAATTCTGATTGGAAGTTATCCAATCAGAATTAAGCAAAGGGTATTTATACTTATCTTTCCTGTCTCTCAGTGCCCTGTTGTGGTCTTGTGTTACCTGTAGTGCAGTTTGCTCGTGTTTCTCTCTGGTTACCGATTATTTGGCTCGTTATTACGATTATCCTGTCTTCTCCACTCCTTTGACCTCGGCTTATTTCTCGTTCTCCCGTTTTCTGGCTCCCTTTACTTGGCTTGTCTCCTGACCATTCTTAGTGTGCTTAGCCCGGCCACTCTAAGGACTGGTATAGCACCCTTCCTCTCTGTGACCTGTTAGCGTGTTAGATTCCAGAATCGTGACACCACCTCCCCCTACTTCTTCAACAACCACCACATCCTCTGTTCCTTTTTTAGACCAGGAATGGCCGACCCTACAGAGAGGCAGATTAAGGGACAGAGGAAAATGGGGATACAAATCAGACCAGGCCAACAAAAGATAACGAATATTGGTGATAGGGTTTCAGATTTTGTATTATCCCAAGATCACATATCACTATTGAAAAAAGTTTTTTTGTCCGTTCCAACTCCAGGAGCGAATAGATTCGACTGGCTTAAGGATACTCTTTTATTTGGTAGAAAATTAGCCCTATGCTCACTGCACAAACAAAAAGAGAGTAGACTTTGAAAAGACATTGGTATTTCCAATGATGACCATCGTCCTCTACTATCTCTAGTGCAATTATTAGAAGAACAAGAAACGAGTCTGTAACGGATCACCTGGCACTCCGACTGGGCACCTCCATTGAAGGATGCTCCTAGCACTTCCTGAGGGTTTCCAGCACTCCAGCAGACACCATATAGTGCCATTAATATGTGACTTTTATTAATATTGAATGTATAGTTTTAGAGTTATGAAAGTTGGGTAAAAAGTATGTTTTAAACTGTACGGCTAATTGTGTTACCTCTCAGGCTAAGGGGAGGAGATGTGTGGGATGTAACCAGTGTGTGATTGGGTAATTCATAATTGTCTGTGGGCGTCTCCCTTGCACGGGAGAATTGCATAAAAGGCACTTTATTAATCTATGTAACCTATTGTATGTAAATGAGGCTGTTGGGGGCTTAAACTATGTGAGCTGCATTCTTAAAAGAGTTGCTGTTTAACCTTCACCATGTGTCGCCTGGTGTTTGGTCCAGGGTGGAAAAGGCCCTAAGTGATCCCAGTCAAGCCTCTGGGTCTGAAGGAAGCAGACTTGGCGGAGGTACTCGGTCGGAGTACTGGAGCTCCGTTACATTGGTTGGCAGCGGTGGGATGGCTTCCTAGCAGCTGGAGAAACGTCCCTGGACACTGGCACCTCTACTGGGATCCCACTGTGGTTTCTGGAATTCATGGAAATGGATAGAGCTAGCACCCATGCAGCATCCCCATCTGAGGAGGAGTTACAGCGGAGGCTACAAGCAGCTCTGTCCCAGTACGATGGCCCTTGTAACGGACCGTTTTGCACACAAGGGGTAAAAACCGTTTAGGCGATCGGCCCCCTTTCCAGAGATCCAGGCACAGCTACTGCAGAACACCAAAACTCACGAACTGGATACAAAATAGCACTCCAACTCCCGAACTGGAACCTCCCAAATAGCTGCTAGCAGACGAACAGGAAAAGCAGACAACAGCTTACACTCCTGGCAATCAGTCTCTAACAGCATACAGTGAATCCCCCCAAGAACGAGACAAGGCTCCGTGTTGAGGGTCAAGCAGTGGTCTGAGGTGCTGGCACACCCAGCCTGGTTTTTATTACAGTGTTTCAAATACAGGACCACCCACAGGGAGGGATAAAACAACCAATCATATCACAGTTACATCCCACATATTCCCTCCCCTTATCCTGAGAGGAAACTCAATTATACAAACAGTTAAAACATACTTTCTACCCAACTTTCATAACTCCAAAACCATACATCACATTCACATAAAATTACATATTCTCAATCAATCCATTCAGGGGAACAACATATTCAAAAATGGCACAAATCAGACAAGGGGTTCAAAAGTTAGTAAAAAGTCCTTTGTGACTAAATGAAGCATGGCTTTCTGGCCCAAACCAGTTTCAGAGTCTTCTATCCTGGAGATAAGTAATTCAATTATCTCCCAGGACAGACACAAGACTCCATTAAGCACATGGTTGCAAAAAGACACAAAACACTTTAAAATACATAAAGTCACATTTATTACATAAAACACAGACATGTAACATATCCCCAGATAGCTCAGGTCTGAGCGCACATTATTAAGTGAATGGCGCTCAGACCACACAAATACAGTTTAATCGCCATGGAGCCAAAGTCTTTACAGTCAGTTTCATATGAATGGGCTCCATGGGATTCCTATCTGGGGTATAACACATTCAAACAAATCTACCAAACCCCAGGCAGAAAAGCACGAATGAAGCTTTTCTGCAGGTAAAAAAAAGTCTTTTAAAAGGGGGCCATAGTCCAAAGGCAGCAGGCGAGCAACCAGGCTTCTCCAATGCAATGTGGCGAGATTGGTCTCGTCACATCTCTCCCCTTTTCCAAACAGACTAACAGGGTATCTGACCTCCTGCCGGTCAGTGCCCTTGTTAGTCCAGCAGCCCACCCACAACAAATAATCAACAGCACAGCCCACCCACAATAAATGGTTACTACACCTGGGTAAAGGAGAAGCTTGTCCATGTCCAGGTGCCTCACCACGGCTGGGCTGGGTACGGGTACGCTGACTTGGTGGGTTGCTGCGTGGGCAGAGACCAGCGGCACTCTGCCCTGTTGCCAGCGCTACTGGGAGGATAGCCTGGTTGAAGCCTGGTTGTTGGAGGGGGAGACCGACTGTCTCCCCTTTAAATACACCGCTCTGCTGCTGGAGACTGACTGTCTCCCCTTTAGATGCACAGTCCTGCTGCTGGAGACCGACCGTCTCCCCTTTGGTTACCCATCTCTGCTGCTGGAGGGGGAGACCGACTGTCTCCCCTTTGGCTAAACAGCCCTGTCGCTGGGGGGCAGGACCGACCGTCCCTACCCCCTGTGCTGGCAGTGTAGAGACTACGGTCCCATCTGCACAGTTGTGGGGCTTACTGTCTCCCCCTGGTACATTAAGCTGCCGCTGGGGAGAGGGGGTAACATGCTCCTCTCTCATACATACTTCCAGCTGCGGGGAAGGGAGACCGACTGTCTCTGCTCCCAATACAGAGTCCTGCTGCTGGGGAAAGGAGACTGGGCTCTCTATTCCCGGTAGGACACTCTGCCGCTGGGGAATGGAGACGGGGCTCCCAATTCCCAATAATCTGTGCTGCCGCTGGGGAATGGAGACTGGGCTCCCAATTCCCAAAACATCATACTGCCGCTGGGGAATGGAGACTGGGCTCCCAATTCCCAAAAAATCACGCTGCCGCTGGGGAGGGAGGACACTGCTCTCCTCTCCCTGGACTTCACACTGCCTTCCCGGCATATCACTTGGCTGCTGGGGGGCAGGAACAACTACCTCTGCCCCCTGTAACTCAGCCT